AAAAAAAATTATGTAACAGTCCTATAATTTGACAGAAATTATTCTGTTCTCATTTTATATAGCACACTCAGTTAATTTAAAAGTACTGTGATGGTTCCAATATCTGGTACCTGGAGTAAATGTATCATTTTTCTTTCTAAGTTTATTTTTGGTATCATTAAAGTACAATTACATGAGCAACATTATGGTTACTAGACTCCCCCTATTATCAAGTCCCCACCACATACCCCATTACAGTCACTGTCCATCAGTGTAGTAAGATGCTGCAGAGTCACTACTTGTCTTCTGTGTGCTATACTGCCTTCCCTGTGCCGCACCCTCCTACATTATGTGTGCTAATCATAATGTCTCTTTTTCCCCTTACCCCTCCCTTTCCACCCATCCTCCCCAGTCCCTTTCCCTTTGGTAACTGTTAGCCACTTCTTGGGTTCTTTGAGTCTGCTGCTGTTTTGTTCCTTCAGTTTTTGCTTTGTTATACTCCACAGATGAGTTGAAATAATTCGATAATTGTCTTTCTCCACCTGGCTTATTTCACTGAGCATAATACCGTCTAGCTCCATCCATGTTCTTGCAAATGGTAGGATTTGTTTTCTTCTTATGGTTGAATAATATTTCATTGTGTGTATGTACCACATCTTCTTTATCCATTCATCTACTGATGGACACTTAGGTTGCTTCCATTTCTTGGCTATTGTAAATAGTGCTGTGATAAACATAGGGGTGCATATGTCTTTTTCAAACTGGGCTGTTGCATTTTTAGGGTAATTCCTAGGAGTGGAATTCCTGGCTCAAATGGTATATCTATTTTTGAGTTTTTTGAGGAACCTCCATACTGCTTTCCACAATGGTTGAAGTAATTTATATTCCCACCAGCAGTGTAGGAGGGTTCCCCTTTCTCCACATTCTTGTCAACATTTGTTGTTGTTTGTCTTTTGGATGGTGGCCATCCTAACTGGTGTGAGATGATATCTCATTGTGGTTTTAATTTAAATGTATCACTTTTTTGTGAAGAATCACAAAATACTTAGGAAATGTACTCTGTGAATATATTTTAGAAGTCAGTATTGTTTTCCACTGATGAGGTAACAATACAAGGTAAGAGAGGAGGTGCAGCTTGAAAGTTCTTCCCACCCTGTATTTCCCATTTTCCCATTATGGCACACCTGGCTAGCTGCTCCCTGACAACTTCAAAATTTAATACTTCCTTTGAAGCAGAAGTGCTCTGGTCCTTTGTTGCCTCATGCCCAAGGGGCAGACCAGTTTGGCCCGGCCCATAGGGCCCACAGGCTTCAGCGCTGCAGCCCTTGCCTGTCTGAACAGCATGGCTCTGCCTATGAGCCTGAGCCCTGGGCTCCCTGAAAGCCCCTTCAGTCATTCCAGTGGAAAGCAGGATACTCTTGGATCCGAGAAAATGAGGAATCAAAAAAAATAGTGATAACAGTTTAATACCAGAAAAGAGAACTCTCTTTCCCAAGTGACAGTGATCCTACCTGAGTAGAATATTAAAAACTGTTAAAACAATGATCCTTTTTGGAAACTACTGAAGATACTGGACACTTTTCCTGCTCTTAAAGAATCAAAACAAGTTTCAATGTCTTTTAAAAATGTAGGGAAACTTTAAGAAAAAGGAAATAAAGATCTCTGAAACAATTTGAATTTACTATTCTTCCCAGATGGCGCACTCAAGATTTAAATACAGTGTTGAAGATCTGGCAACATAATTACAGAATGATAATAGCCTGATTCAGAATCTCAGGGGACATGTAATAAGATATCCTTTTTTACCAAGTTGCATTTCAGAGGTATAGAGAAGTACCAAGCTTAAATATTATTTTCACATTTACCCACATGCTGAAAGGAAGATCTGGGTACTAAAAACATTATCATCAAACACTTTAGAAAGGCTAAGTATTTAAACTGAGAAGACTACAAAATGTTGCAGAAGGAATTATTCAAGTGGAACGAACATAATGCCAGACTGCATGTAGTAAGCCAGATACTCAGGGCACATGCACTTTCCATGCTGTTGTGATGCAAAGGAATAATGGGAAGATTAACAGAGAAAGAAAAAAGATTTCTGAGATGACTTAGCATATGCATCATATTCCCAACAAACCAGAATCACTGCAGAAATCTTACTCTACTAAAGCAGCAGAATACAGGAAAAATATCAATTAAAATAGAAAACATTAAATGTGCCTTACAGTTTTTTCTATGTTTGGACTCTATCCTCTGCTCACGTTCTGCTTTCATCTGCTCAGCAGGAGTATCATCCACATAAGCCTTCCCTTCCTGAATTAGCTTCTCTGCATATTTCATTATAGTTTCAAAATGATCAGAGGTGTAAGTAAATTGATCTGGTTTGATATGCAACATTGCAACATCTTCCAAGATAACCTGCAATAAGAATCCAAAATAACCATTAGTTCATCTTTTGCATTTTCCCGTGTATCTTCAATCTTCGATACTGCATTGGGCAAATGTAAAAATACACCACCAGTCTTATATAGCCTGAAAATGGTTGTGCAAGTTGTACAGTATTAGATCAGAAATGAAAAAAAATATTCATTACAGTAGCCTTCAAGTGTTCAGCCGAGAATGCTGATCTTACAGTGAAGCTTTCCATTTACACTGGAAAAGCTGGTTGTTACTGATCATACTGAGAATTATTTGCCCTCTCTTTGACTATATTGAAGTGCTTCTGAATAAAGATTATATAAAAGGCTAGGAGGAAAACTTCACATTTTTCAATACCTACTTAGTGTTTGTTTCATTCATAAACTTAAAATATGACAAAAAGGAAACCTGCCTCCAGTGATTGATACTTATAGGATAATATAGCACTTAGGTAAATTCAATAACAACTGAGGAAGAAAAAAATAAATTGAAATTTTTTGGTATGAGAGTTCAATATTTTTTGGCTTAGGTCCCAGACACAGAATATACAGATGAGAAAAAAAAACAAAAACAAAAAACAGCTATGAGAACAAACTTAATTTATGTCCATACCATGAAGGTATTGGGTCACCCTCTAATTTTAATTAACTTTTCTGACAAAGGGTCATCACTACACCTTTAATTACCTTCTCAAAATCTTCCTTCTCTTTTTCAGGATTTGTGTCATCAAATCTCATGATCAGTTTCCCTTTAAAGTTAACCTGGTAGTGCTGGTTCAGAAGAGCAGCTTTTGCATGCCCAATGTGTAAGTAACTAAAACAAAAACATTTCACAAAAAAACTCATTAACAAGTTTTAACTAAATACTTAAATAACCTTTTTGAGGAGATGAGAACTAAACGAAAATCCTTCTAGTTGGTACTCTAGTCATATTTTATTTTCTAACAAGAAGTATTCTGACAGAAAATCTGACCCTGACAGGAAGAAAGAAAAAGATGACGACATTTATAAAAGAGTAAGAAACAATTTCAAATGTAAAATCTCACAAAGGGACAAGTCATTTACAAACACCACAACCTTAAGGAGAATCTTTTTCTTTCTTTACAGAGGAATGAATGGTCACTGAGTTAGAGGAAAACTACTTCCAAAACCGTTTCCCATGCTACAAAATAGTATACCTTCAATAAGACAGGTGCTATGAGATCTGTGTACCAACCTAGCACATGCTAGAGACTCCTCTGAGAGTGCCACTGTCGCCATGTAAGTGAAAGAGCATGTGAGATTTTGGAAGCCACAGAAAAGCCACATCCCTTCTCCAGGCTTCAGTTTTCTCAGGGGCCAAAATAAAAGGATTGGAACTGAATAATCTTGATGGTCTTATCCATCACCAACACTCCATGAATCACAATCTATGAAAACACTATTTTGTTCCTATAGGCAGCTGACAATTTTAAGAAATAAAATACACTGTTGATGATATTACACATCATTATCCTCCTCTATCAATAACAAGCAGTACCTTGTACCACTTTTGTTGAAAATACATATTGTCAGGCAGCAAATGGCACAAGAGCAAGGAAATTTAAATAATCAGCTCTCATTCATGTTTTTTTTTTTCATTTTAATTGATAATGGTAGTTGTAGTTGCATTGTTCTGGTCTAGGATCCTAGTTTTTCATACACAGCTCTGATCCCGGTTGATACCAGAAGAGGAGGGGAAAGTACAACCCCTTGTAAGTTTATGTCATTTTTTAAATCTCAACCCATTTTTTTTAGAAATTCATGCAGCATTCTAGATCAGTAATTCCATTTTAAGAAGGGTTTATATGCACAGGTTAATGGGAGCAGATACAATCAATGCATTTAGGGTTATTCAAAACTTTCTGCACAAAATAAAGGACTATAAGAGGTATTACAGATGAGATTTTAGAATAAGAAAGGACATTAGGGGAAAATGAAATCCAAAAAGTATGAAGATGATAATAATATATCAATATTGGTTCACTACTTGTAACAAAGGTACCACAGTAATGTACGATGTTAATATAAGAGAAAATTGGATGCATCATATATGGAAACCTTTTGTATTACTTTTGCAACATGCCTGTAAATCTAAAACTATTTTCAAATAAGAAGTTTATTAAAAATGAAATAAAGGACTATGAGTTCCAAGAAAGAAACAGAAAGACTGGGTGCAGTTTTCACTCAAAATGTTATACTTGTAACGTGATAGACATCATTAGGAGAAAAAAGAAAGGACTAATAATTCCTAACTACTTACAAATGACAGTTAATGTGCCAGGCTTTACATACAGGAACTAAGAGAGGTGATGAAATCAAACCATTATTGAAGATATTTCTGAATCTGAAATAACGTGTGTGGTTCTAATAATTCTAAACAGCAAGAAAGCTAGGTGGATTACAAAATAATTCACAAGATAACTAAAATAATTAGCTCAAGAGACAACCTGCATCAGAATAGCTAAAGAAAATAAGATTCACACTGTTGTTAGTTAGTTAGTACTGATGCTGAAGTAGGCTTCTGACACACTTAACAGACAGGCAGTATAATTTTAAGTCATATGGATTTTAGAGCCAGACAGTGTAGTCTGAGTTTGGCAAGTCACTAAGGTGTTGTATGAATCAGTTCCTGAAATTATTTTGTCAAATGGAGATAACAACAATGCCTTCTTCATATGGCTGTTAGGATTAAATATGTTACTATATGTAAAGTGCTTGGTACTACCTGCACATAATAGGTGCTATATACATGTTAGCTAAGAAAAGAATAAAAGGCAAAAGTCAAGTCTTCTGATCTTTCATGCAAGATGGGAAAAAAAGGTTAAAAAACAGGTAAGAATGAATCCTTTATCTGTGTAAGAGGATATGATCAAAATTATGAATACCGAAAAAACCTGAACATTGATTTATATTCCAAATCTCAAACTGTATTTGGCCAAGAACATGGTCTCTGAGACTGACATAATTTAGAACAGAAAAACATATGTTATACAGTAAATAATAAATATGAGGAACTCACTATTCCAAGACGTGACAGAAAATACAAAAGACTCAAAAAGTTCAAATGTTCTAATGGCATAGTTATAAATAGTCACCGCTAAGGAAGTGGTTTTTATCAAACCATTAAAGTCACTGCCCAACAGGACAACCATGACCTCTCACACCAAGTACAAAGGAGCAGGATATTGGGACCCAAGATGTCTGTGGGTATGGAGCCATGTGGGTAGGTACTATTTATAAGATTCTACTCAGTCAATTACCAATTGGCCATTCAATGATTTAGTCTGTGAATTTTCCATAATCATTATTTCTCTTTCATCTTCTTCTACCTATCCGTTATTTCACTGCCTAAATCAGCAAACTCAAAAGTGGAATTCTAAAACTGATTTTGTTGTTAATGGTATTTTAAGAAATAGTTTGTGAATGACTATTAAGAAGAGCTAAAACAAAGTGATTTCCTTATCTGCCACCTCTACTGTCTACACATTCCATTCACCATGGATGGGTAAGAATCTGGCTACAGAATACAAAATCTGAAATTACGTGAAATTTGAAAATAAATCATCATCTTATCTACAAAATATGGCATAATCCTTTCCTACTGGCTAAGTTCCTGAGGCTGACTGCTCTGGGAAGAGGCATTTTTTTGTATTAGAACACTGGAAGGGCACATTACAAAGCCTGTCCAGTATGCCTCACAGAGGTGGACACGTGTACAAAAGCAGAGACTCCCCCCAGCTGTGCGGAAAGCTGGGCAAGACCTGAGACAGCCCCAGGTGGGTGGCCTCCAGTGAGAACAGTCCCTTTCCCTAATGAGCTATTCAAATATTATCATTTTCTACGGGTGCCAAGAGTGAAAGAGCTGGGAAACCTGCTAATAATGGAAAGAACTGAATAGGAACGGGCTTTTCAGGACACCCCTTCCTTTATTTGGGAAAAAATAGCTTAAAAATTCATCTACTATAACTTTTACTGCTAACTGAAAGGACTGCTCAGGTTACAAATACAAACCCTTATTAAATGAAAGCCAAAACATCTCAAAATGTAAATAAAACCTAAGACTTTATATTTATGTATATTTCTCTTTATAATTAAAATTCTGTCTGGGGCAAAAAGAAGAAAACCGTTGTCTTGCCTAATGAGTTAATAAACTAAAACTACAAACTTAAGAAAGTAACATCAACTGTGAATACTTAAAACCCAATAAGTAAGATGTTAGGAATTTTAACTCCCTCCATTAAAAATCTTATTTTCTTCTTTATTATTAACCTATTAATACTAGAAGTATTAGTAATGATCTTAAAGCTTTTCCATGAAATATATTCAATTATAATCATGAGTTATATTTTCTTACCCACTAGCTTCTGGAGGAAATCTGACAGTAACCTTTCCCATCTCAGCACCTGGAAGCTCAACAAATTTTCCAACATCTTGCTTTTTCTCAGGTGCCTGAAAAGCAGAACAACAATAAAAACATTTACATGGCTAAAGGTTTAAGAATATATTTAGTTAACAACTCAGTACCCACCATGTGCTAGGCATGGTTCATGAGAAAAAATGATTGTCCTTGAACTGGAGAACTCAAAATCTTGTGAAGGACGTAAATAAAACCAAACATAGGTAACAGGGTGCCGTTAGAGCAGTCAGTTTAAGTTAACCAACAGCACCTAGGGTCATCAGGAAAAGCTTATAACGAGGTGAAAAATCAAGCTGGGCCTTGAAAAATAAGTGAAAATATATCACACAGATTGTATAAGGGCATTCATTCTAAGAAAACAAATAACAGCACAGGGAAGACACAAAGGCAGGGAAGAGCAGTGCAGTGGCCACAAAAGTTATAAATGCTTGTTGGGTGGATAGGCAAGGGGTAATAGGACCATTTTATTTGTATTTTCTAAAATGGTATCTGGTATAGTACAGAGGCTAAATTAGAAGAAAGACGGGAAAAAAAGGAAGTTCAGTAATGGGATTATGGTATTAAATCAAGCAGTGGGTAATGAGGCCTCAAGAGAAATCTACAGCAGTGGAGACAGAAAACAAACATTAAGAAGTAATAATAGAACTTGTTGACAAATTAGACGTGAAAGTGGTAAAGGGAGAATAAAGATTTTTAGCCAAAACAATTAAATAGACTATGATGTCTATCCAAGCAGGCAGAATTTTTAAAAATTTTACTGCATCAGAAAATCTTTAAATCAAAACTTTACTACACACTCAATATACACAACAGATCACAGTAGAGAAACTAGCTGGGAAAGAGATCTTTTCTACTGTCACTTACTCCTACAGAATTGACAAAGTGCTTCTGCAGAAGCCCAGGATTCAGTGGTCAAAAACCAGAGAATAGATTTAGGAGGAAGAAAAGATTGTACAGATGTAAAATAATGAGATTTTAGTTGCTTGGAGTTTGAACTTCCTAAGGGACACACACTGGACGATCATAATCTCTGGGACATATAATTACAGAGTAAGGCTTTATGGAGTCAATGGTCAAAAATCAAGCCAAAATTTAACAATGGCAGATTCTTCCAAGCATATCCTTTTTTATTCCTGGAAAGAAAATGAATTTTGAGTAGGAATAATTTTCTTTTCAGATCTAGGGTCTCAGACAAAGATGTCAGCATTTAACAAAAAAAAAAAAGCCTACCACTTTAGCTTTGGTTGTTGAAACATTCCACTTGGCACCTACTGACTCAAAGGTTTGCTGGGCTCCAAGAAAGCCAAACCAGCGTTTTACGTGAACTGGGGCTTTGTTCTGTTGCAGCTGTTCCTGCCATGCAGCATTTCCTATTGGCAAACACAATTTCAGAGTCATTCAATAAATCTGCAACTTCAAAAGCAAAGTTCTATTTATGGTTAATTTAAGTAAATGAGAAACTTAAAGTTGTGCTTCTATAATGAAATCTTTATAAAATCTGGGTATGCACTGAAATGTTTTCTAATACTTTATAACATATTCTAGAGAATGCACAAAAATTAAAGTATTTCAATTCACTGAAGTCAATACTAAATCCTGCCCAAACGAGCACCACACATCCACTACAATGCCAAAGCTACATTTCATAATCAAGGAAAAGCTTTACATAGATCAACCAAAGAACAACAACAAAAAAATATCAAGATCAAGAAGTAGCTCATTTCTTCAGATGTAATACCAAAATAAGTACTGAAGAAAAGTTTATTTAAGTCTTAAGCACCACAAAGCTACTTCCTTAAGATATTACCATTCTTTCATGACCAGTAAGCCAAATATCAAAATAGACAAAAATGTCATATCTATACATGAAAACACCTAATTAGAAATGGTCTTCATTTAGTGTTACTATTATGAAAATACAATTTGGATGAAAGCTTAAGCCACAAAAAAATATAGAGAATATTTTTTTTTAAGACCCATGTAACCTAGATTTAAAGAATGTTAAAACATTTTGGCATATCTACTTCAGGCTTTTTGTGGTTTTTTAATAAAGCTGTGCTTATTTCTTTAATAAAGAAAATAAGCTGACAAAATTCAAGTCCCTGTTGCATCTCTCATCAATCCCATATTGTTACTTATTGAAAATTAATCACATAAGATGGAAAAAGTAACATCCCAGAGGAACAACTACAGATTGCCAACCCCCTCAACACACACACACACACTCACCCCTAAGTCAGAGACAATAGTGCCTGGAGTAAAGTAATGGCTGAGATAGGAGAGGTACTGACATAAGTGACCTTAGAGGACCAAGGTCAGCTTCAAAGGCAAGAGGTGAGCTGAGTGGTGAGAGAGAGGATCTCCAGGGACAGTAGAAAACAGGGACTTCCTGTGACTGAGTAGGAATAAAACAGACAGCGAGACAGCGAGGTCATTCCTTTGCAAGAAAGTCCAAAGTGAGTATGTGCCTATGTGTGTGTATGACCATGTATTTTATACACACACATAACCACATGTATATATTTGTTCATACACATAGAAATATGTGTACTTCTTATCCAGCAGAATATTAAATAATTAAAACAGAACATTCTTTAAGAAGAATTACTGATACCTTTCAGGGTGGCCCAAACACATAAATCTGCTAAACTCAAAGAGTGTCCAACTAAGTATGTTCTCATAGACAGGCAATGATTGAGCTCATTGATTGCAGAAGTAAACAAATTACATGAAGATAATTTTGTAGCACTAAACTCCAACCAGTGATCAATCTGTGAACATAAAAAACAGAAAAGAAATACCCTAGGGTTTAGATTTAAACAAACAAAAGACCTCAGTACCATGTCTTTCTTGTCTCAAATTACAGTTTACCATTATTTGGATTTAATTCTGATAGCCTGGCATCTTAAACTGGCACTTAAACAAATTTTGTGATTTTGTTGGGTTTTTTTTTTCCTGTTTCCACAGGACAGTGGAGTGGCACTTCCAGAAAAAGAAAAAAAAGATTTGAGATCTGGCAACAGAAAGGAGTAACCAACCTGACTGAACCAGTTGTTACCTTTTAAACAGATTCATCCATTTGCAGTATTTAAAAATAAATACTTAAAAACTATTCTTTGCATTTTGATTTTTATAAAATTTAGGAAAAGTTAGAGCTGAATACAAACAGGAATTTAAAAAGTCCAAAAACATTTGAAGAACAATATTGCAAGTTAATCCACTATTGCTGTAATTAAGTCAATATACTCTTAGACAGGAAAATGGGATCCAAATTATCTGCATGACCCAGAGAAACCTCTTAACTTTTGTAGGCCTGTTGCCTCATCTGTAAAGTAAGGGAGTTGTGAAGGATCATCTATACAGTCACATCCAGCTAAGAAATTCTAGGAATCTAGGAAGAGGAAGACAGCACTTACTGACCCAATA